TTACAGTGTGTTCTCATTCATATGGTTTAAGAGTCTAATAGAGGGTTGGGCTGAAAGTAAACTGTATGGGAGAATCTTTCTAGCTATAAAACGGAATAATTGGAAGTTGCTTATTTTTTCAGCAGTGGTAGTGGTGCAGCCTGTCTGCACTGTGTGCTATATGAGTGCCAGTACCGAGGCCACATTTCATAAAGGCAAATCCACAGCCATAAATAGACAAGCAAGCATTTGTGTTCGTCGTCTGAGTCAAGAGGGATACAAGTTAAACTGCTCAGCAATAGAACAACCAATCCATCGAGACCTTTTTATGTTACCTAAATGTTACCTTATATGTGCACCTTATCATGAAAAAGAGGAAAGTGAGCTATATGTGTACATGTACTGTATATCACACGGGGAATGGGAAGGAAATAGTAAAGAAGTTGTAAGTTGGATCAAAGTCAGGGGTTCTGTCAAAATCAAGATAAGTATGTTTTAATTTAGGTAGAGAAAATATCATCAGTATACAACCCTGATGTTTTAAGACTATATATACTGCTCTAAAGTGCAAAGACATTTGTTTAAAAACCCAGCATTGTCAATTTCTTTTACATCATTCTTCTTTAAAAACTTATTAAGAATGTTCTTTCTGAAGAATTGAATTGAAGATTTCCAAAATATTTAACATCATAAATCAGGAGTCTTATGCCCTCTCAAACGACTCCCCTAAATCTGTGATAAAAATACTATATATATATACAGTTACAAAGTGGCTGTTCACCCAACAATTGTATGGATAAACCTACCAGCACATATTCATCCAACTCTGAGTCAATAACTTCCTTTATGGTAGCTTTTCAACTCCAGTATCAAGCCTGTGGAAACGGGGTTAGTGCTCAATACTCCTGTTTCTGTCTGGAGTTTTTCAATATTCTATCTGCAGTCCATTTGGTTCAGGAAAACTGACGTTTTAAACATTAAATCTATAAACCTTAAGTCGGCTTCATGTTTATAGAAGGCGTTTAAGTCTTGAATAAGACTTCAAAAAACAAGATGTCGGTCCTTTCTGCAACAATTAGTTAATTCCTTCAAATCCTAAACATACCACTGCAGGTTGAGCTTTCAGTCGTGGTGGCACAGCTAAAATGATTTCACTGTTAAGCAGAACGATACCAGTGAAACACAGGTGGACAAGGTGCTTGCAAGGGGAAATTACAACATGACAAGGCACCAATGTGGAAGCTACAACACTAGCTGTCAGCACACCCCTCTGTTGGGCCTCTTTCAGTTTTGTATAAAGTAAGAGCTCTCCCTGGGCTGTTGCTTTCCTTCAACAGCACCACAGATGCATAGGAGAATAATGTTGCTCAGTTCAGCACTGGCAGCCTTGAAAAGCACTTCAGTGATCCACTCGAGATCTTAAGTTATTGATAAAAATGATAAGCGGTCAAAACACTGCACTGAAAATGAGGGCTGGGATTTTAGAGGGCGTGGCTGATTTCGTGATCTTCCTGACTGATGTTTGATGTGGCAATAGTGAAATTATGGGTTATTTCTTACCTCATGTGCTGAACCGCTCAGAAGTTCTCACAACTCCTATTTCAGTGCTTTATTTCAGGTCCTGGCATGTATTCATCATTGGTTTAAATCCTTCACCTACCTATTCCAATGAAGTAATCAGGTATTAAAGATTTAAAACATTTCGCTCTGCTGTTTTCACCTATTGTGTTTAACACAAAACCTCCATTCTGATTCCAAGTCAGATTATTGTGGTCTTGATTTTCCTGCCCAAAGCCGTAGATAATTTCAGCATAAGATCCTAAACTCCCAAAGGACTAATTTTTCTGAAGATATCGACCTAGATATTCAGCACGGAGAGCTAACTAGGCTCCTTCATGCTCTTGTTTGTGTCTTAGAGAGCAATTTGCAGGGGCTCCCTCTTTTTCTGCTTGACATTTCTACCTGAAGGGTTTTCCTACATTCAATGTAAGGATAATCAATCCCAGTCTGCAAAACTGTAGTGTATTAATTATCAGCCTCTGGAATACGAAATCATCACCAAGCAAGAGAACAAAGAAATCATATCAAATACTGTAGCTCATACATGTTTATGTTACTTTCAGCCATCTTTAATGATGTCTGAAATTAGATGCTACTAAGAAAACGCAAACTGATTTATTCAAATATCTTCTACCGTCTTCGGGTCATGATCGATATTCTCAGTAGTGAACTTTTCCCTTCAGACATAATCTATCTCAGGTGGGCCAAGTCATTAATCCATTGAATTGCCACCGAACCCCACTGGACTTCAACATCCTGATGAAACCAATTCCATGTCAATGACTCGGACCTGAAAGTAATTGTTAATTTCAGCTAAAGCCCACTTTAATTTTAATTAACTGATCAGCATCGAGCTGAGGTGCCGCTGCGAGGCTATATGGGTTATCGATTAGACTTGTCCGTTAGTGGTGCAGTATGAAAAAAGAGAAAGTTCAGGGCTCTCCTCAGTGGTGCAGGTAAATGGGACATGAAAATGTATAATTTTATTTTCAGTTGAGGATGCATCTTATTATTTATATATAATATATAATATATAATTTCCTATTATATAAAGTCCTTAGGTAAATCACAAAGGGGAACAAAGCAACTTAATATGAACACTGGAATCATTTACAAAACACAATTAATATTTTTTCTGTCTTGAGTACAAACCAACTTCAAAATGAAAACAAAGCTCCTACTGAGAAATACTGTTACATCTTTCAATAGAAAGATTATTATAAGCAAAACAAATACAAAAACAAGAGACACTACTGCCAAGATATTTAAATTGTGTATTGTTGTCTTTAACTGACAAAAGGCAACCTACCACTTGACAGATAATCACCCCTGTGAGCCCACCTACAATCATTTAAGACATCGTTCATGACCTTCGACGTGAACACATGTCATTTTTTCTTTGTCTCCATGGTTTCCAATTACAGATCCTTCATTAAATCCCACAGAGCAGCCTGCATCAGGACCACCCTGCCTCTTTCATTCCTGCTTAGGTGATGCCGGATAACCCTTCTGGTCTAATTCTCTTCAAAGCAGCCTAACAAGCCGAATACTAATGAACGCAAGTCGAAATGAGGGAGGAACATTTCAATTTAACACCCTTTCATCTTCAATTCCTCTGGGCTCCCTCTTGCCATTTCACCGCCACTAAACACAGGCTCCGGGTTATGAGTGCATGGTTAACATTCTCTATAGCTTCATCATTTTTAGGAGAACATAAATTAGGGTATGGTTTTATTTCTAAAAACATAAGAAAGGGTACAAACAAGAGGAGGACAGTTAGCCCATCTATCTGATTTGTCACTTGCAAAGCAAAGCCATATTTTTTGTGTTTTTCATTTTATGCCCACCGAGCTAGAAATCACAAATAGTCATTTTACACCTCTCCGTAATGACTCCTGAACTGCAGAAGGAAAACAAGGAAGGGCAGATGCCCAGCTATCCAAGCTGTTCATCTTTGTGACATGCTGCAGGCTTCACAGTTCCCGACAGGACAGTTGGCGCAGACAGAAGCAGCAGTGCATCTCTCGCCAATCTCAGCGCTGGTCTGCAGGACAACCTGCCACGCTAAGAGAGCCCTGAGTGACTAATCCCAGCCACAGCGAGGTGCTGCCTGTTGTTTATTACACCTTGGGAAATCCCACCAGTCGTTTTGCTGCACCCAAAAGCTAACCACAGGCTAACCAGACTGCCTCTGCTCCCTCTGCACCTAAATCAGCAGAAGCTAAGGGCACTGGCTGAACCTAAGCGGTCTAGCGTTGCTTGGGATTTGCTTCAGTGTCAGTAGGCTTTGAAGCGAACGCAGCAGTCTAACAAAACAATAATTGCCGTGCAGGTTTTACAAGACTGCTCCCAAAATCTCACAAGACCCACGCAGCTGTTGTGTTCTAATAAGCCACCACCCCTCCCCCCTTCTTTCCCTCAGTACTTGACATTGAGACTCTGACTCTCACACTCTGGGCTACGAGGTCTGAGATGTGCTGTTGTTCTATTTTTGCAGCTGGTTAAAACTTGAGCAGTTGGAATGGACACAGACATTCTTACTGGGCGGGATCTTTTACACAACCCACAGCAGTGGTGCCCATCAGAGCTTCAGCTATTCCAAGTATCCCAGCCATACACTGCTCCACCCTCCAACAAGCAGCAGTGCTCTCTGCCCACTGCAGAGAAACAAAATCCAAGACAACAGTCATCTGCCCCTATAGATCAGAATGTGATAGAGAGAAAGGGCATTCCTCTGTATGTTAGAGCCCTGTCAGCTCACTGGGTGTGCTCTCTTCAAAGCTCTTTGTAATGCAGCCTTTGCAATACAATCCATGATCACAATGAATGACATGCTGTCAGATGAGCCACAACCAGATCTCTACGCTTGAGGACACATGGAAATACAATCATGATAAAGGCTGCATGGGTAGAAACCTTAAGACATTGCTTTATTTTATGCAGTACCTTAAACAGTAAAGTGCTTTACATACCCAAAAAGCAACTTTCATGCTTAAAGACAATTGCAAAGCCAAAAACAATGATAGATGTTTTGATATCTTGAACGTAAATATAAGGTATTTAACATTGCCTCTAACATGAAATATGGTGCAAGGACTCCAAGACAGGAGTGATGAGTTCACTTGTGTGTGACCTGCGTGGGTTTTCTGAATATATTGCTTGTCATTTAATTTTAGTCACTACTGAAACTAAGGAATTACGGTCATTCTTTGAAAGGAAAAAAACAAACAAACAAACAAACAAACAAACAAACAAACAAACAACCTACTATATAAGAACTGCAATTGGACAGCACTGAAACATCTATATTGGTATCAGGTTTAACATTTCTAACCATAATTGAAATTATTAAACTTTAGACTGCCTCACTATAATTAGAATACAATACAATTATAACTCCAACCTGACCTCCCGTCCTGGCTCAATTTGTTAAAAACAAGTAGCAACACCACACGGCCTACCTCTTTCACCTTGTCCATCTCCGCTTGCAGGACCTGCTTGGCCACCTCCAGGTCAAGGAGCTTCTGTCTGAGGTCCTCGTTCTCCTGCTCCAGCCTGCTTCTCTTCTTCTCCACCGCATCCAGCTCGTTGTGGAGGCGGATGGACACGTCTTTTGCCACCTATGAATGGACGCCCAAGACATGCAGCAGTACTGGTAAACAGACAGACTCACCATTACAGCTAACTTCACTAAAACTGAGGGCTTGCTACAAATAAGGCCAGTATGTGTCCAGATACGAAACTAAAGTGAATTGAGGGTAGAAAACCTTATTTACCACATGGTGACTGTTGATTAAATGCAATATTTCTGAGTTATCTTGCATTCAAAACCATTAATTAGGCATGAACATTACCAAATTAATGATATTGTAATTGTATTGGACTGTTCGATGATTCACATGTCTATATACAATATTTACACAGTTTTAAGCTTGATTGAATATTTCAAAAGCAGAGAATTAAATTATGAGAATGCAATTAAAGGAACTAGCATTGAGACCGAATTATGGATTTCATTATGCAGTGGCATTAAATATTGCTTAAGAGGCTCTATGATAATTGCACAGTCATGTGATTTGTAAAATTTTCTTAGTTTAGCTGAGAGTCTTATTACAATGAAGTTTAAGTCTTAAACATTCCAAAGAAAGTTAATGCTGCCTTCTCCAAAACTGCATATGTATGCAGGCAGACAGCAAACATGTTGGTAAATTAAAGTGAACGAATGGTTGTCTCATTCAGTCAGGAGAACATATGATTATTATGTGCAGTATGATACAATCCCTCAGACACTGGAGATGAAAAGTCTTGTGAAATCATTTTAAATGAAGCATAATGTCAGGTCAGAGCATGTAATCCACCATTTGCCTCTGCTATTATAGTTTATCAAGCAAGTGGTTGTAAAAAAAACTCCTAATACTGCAGATAGCCCTTGTATGGAGGCAGTGAGCTGTTGTGGGAGTTACAGAGTCTACAGTGAACTACTGTACAGCTCTGCACTTTCTACATCAGGACACGTAAGGATAACTACAAAAACACCCAATGTTATTTAAAAGACTTTATAGGCTGAGGGCAATGATGTCCCACTACAATCCAATGTGCTTTTTACTTTTCAGGGCATGTCAGAAAATTAATTCTGCACTATTTTAAAACTTAATCTCACAGAAACAGTGGTGGAAGTTCAAAATGTCCCTGGGTCTAGGTTACATAAAAGATTAATTGAAAAGGCCCATATACTATTGCATTTGTTGACACTGTGACCTGTGAAGGATCTTCTAGGAACACAGTTTTTAATGTAATTTATAAGTAGAATTTAATTTAAATTAAATTAAATTAAATTTAAATTATAAGTACTATAATATAGTAGTTATTGCATGTATACAAGTTTTAACATTGAAGGGAGAAAAATGAATTTTCAACACAAAGGGAGCATGCAAAAATCTCCAGGTATTTGGGATAGTCTTGTGATCAAATGATTGCTAACTTAAAAACACCTTAACAATTGTTTCAGGTCTTTTAGATCTACCAATGATAAACTAACACGACAATAAAGAAGTGCCTATTCTACATACACCAAAGAACAGAGCTGATATTATTCAGTGGCCACTGAGAAATAGAGTGAGAAAGGCCATACAAAGTACGTTTTTTTTACTGGATATAAGGCAGTGCTCCACTGCAGAATAAATTCATTACTGCTCACAATGTGCCTCACTGTAATTATCCTGTAAAAACACCACAGGGACACTCTTATATTTCATATCCAAGAGGGTTAACAGGCTCAGTCTTCTTTCACTTCTGTACACAGTAAAAGAAACAGACGGCCTGGATTGTAAAATCGCTGGTCTGTATTTTAATAGGCTGTGACTCTTCCAGAGTGTTAAAAGGGTGCTTTATAGCAGTTGCACACTTTTCCAGTAAGTAAAAGCCTTTTGTCAGGGGAACAAGAATAGACTATTGAGATAAACAGATGAAAAAGAGGTGTTTTTTTTGCTTGCTTCATTTTTCACGAGGTGTGGCTTTGACATGCAAATATATATGTGTGTGTGCTATGAAAACAGTGTGTTTTGCTTGTGGTGCCAGTGCTTTATTACATTTCCGCTGACAAACAGTTGCATTTGAATTTTTGTAGCTATGCTGTGGGTCTTGGAATCGGGATATTGGGAAATTAAATATCTGTGTGGTTTCAGTCTTTAACTGTGGCTAAATACTCTGACAGCAAGCAGAGTCAGAAAGCCATGGGACCCTTTTCATATCTGTGTTACTGACCCATCAGACCCTTCTGCTTCTGTCTAAATTAGCATTACAGCAGCTGTTTGCTACAGCAACACAATTACTTTTCAGTTAATTTTGTAATGAAGAAGGACATTTTGCTGGGACTGCAAAGAAAAACTTGTCGAATAGCTTTCTTTTCTGTTTTTTACAACAGTATTCTTTTTACAATTAAATGGTTCTGATGTATGAAATAATACAGGTTCAGAGTTTATGGGAATAGAAAACTGGCAAGCTCTTCTTGTAAGAAGTCAATAGTGGCTGGCAACATTGACTTAAACGTCTTTTGCTACATGACTTTTCTTGGCAAAATAATAAATCATGCAGGGGCTGAGACACACAGAAGCCACAGAAACCAATTTGCTTTGAATAGTGTTTCTTTCAATGCTCACTGCTGTGTAATGTAACACATGGAGCTATTTCTCGGCATTGCATGGTCCCAGTTACCAGCTGTTGCAATGAAAACGGAGCTCTAACCACACAGATTCAACTATCTCCCGCTACTTCATTCCACGTGGTGAGTAACTGGGATTATCCACTGGACATTACCAGCTAAGAATACTCCCTACAGGAAATACTCCAAACGGGAGTCAGGCAGGATTTTCGATTCTCCTCTCCTTTTCTTAATTAACTGTTGCTCTACTGAATATTATTTTAGAATGTTGCTTATTCATTTATAACAAGAAGTCTTAGTAACACAGAATACTTTTTCATGCATTCTCGAGAACAAATGAAGAAAAGAAAAAAATGCACAAAGGGAAGCACAGACCGACAGAGCATGTCTTTTGTGTAATCAGTGCTTTAAGTAAGTTTACTTCCTCAGAGAATTTCTTTCGAACTTTTCTGCACTTTTGTAATATTTCTTGGAATTCAAAAGTTGATCATTCCGCATTTTCTTTTTATCTGTCACATGTGCGTCCAGATGTTCCTAATGGCTCTCATGAAACACATGAAGGGCAGGAAATGGACGCAGTCTACCACTTTCACTATCCTCTGATTCTTACAAACCTCAAAGGATTTCTGGAGGGCAGTATGGTATTTGATATGGAAACTTCAGAGTGTGTTCCACACTTCCATTCATAGTGTATAAACAATTGTGCTCTGTAATCAGCCAGGTTGAATCCTTCTAAGTTTTGTATCTTTAAATCTGTAATCTTTAAATACAATAATAGCATCTAAAATCTCCAAGGAACTCCATTTTCCAGGGTTGACAGCAGAAAAGCACATTGTCAATTTAGATGATCAGTTTTCTGTTATTTGTTCCTGGTTTCTTATACATATGCAGCTTTGGGATTAATTCATTTCCCCCCAAAAAATTTTTTTTTGGAGAAATGCACGGAGTCGGGTTGTGTGAAGAAACTAATGTCTAGTGTTGCAGAGCCTTTAGGGGTGTTTTAGAGAGCTCACAAACCAAAATTATTTACTGGGTGTTGCCCACGTCAATGGCCCTTTAATGTCTTCCACAGACAAGGCTTCCTTCTGTGATTTGCTCTGGCTGCTGTGTCTCAGTTCACTACTGAGTCAGTTCAGCTAAACAAAGAAGCACAATGTTTGGATAAGTGGATTTTTTTCTTCTCACAACTGCATCATTTAAAATGAGGGACAGTAACAGCAGGCCTAGCCTCTGGGGGATGACATCATCACCAAATTTCTTCCTTTTAGCATTTTAGAATGGCCACATTGTATTGCTACTTGCAGTCCAGCACGTTATAAATAGCTGCCTGCACATACTGTCAGAGAAGTGTTGGAAAACGGAGCATTTCATCTAACCTGTCTGGGCTTCTTGCAAACATTGCATTCTCATAATTCATCTGATACAGCTAACACTGTATTGTTTGGTTACTCTAAGCAGATAGCTAAAACCAATTCATCTTGCTTTAACATTTGTCTTTAACTTTAGCTTGAAGCTATATGCTATGATGAACATTTCCAGATTCTGCGAGGACAGAATCTAAATCCAGGTTTCCGTTTATTCAAAATAAACCAATTCGGTTATGTGTTCAGATTTAATGTATTTTGAGGAAGAATTACATTCTAAGCCACATGATGGAGTTGCAAACAAATGTGTTATCAGATGAAAAAAGGCAGTTGTGTTTAAAAAAGTGATATAGTACGCAGACATAAGATTCTCGCCATAGAAAATAACACTGATATGCTCCTTAGCCCATCATTTAAGGAGCACAGTGCTGTGTCATCCCCTAACATCATGCACTGGATTTGTGATTGTATTTTTTTCTAGTAAACTGAATCTAGAAATAGAAGCATAAATAATTCAAAGTCTAAGCCTAGCCAGAAACCTTTCTGAGAAAAAAAAGACTGTGTTGGTAAAATATTAAACGAAAGCAATGGGTATATGGAGAGAACGGACTAATAACAATCACACTGGCCCTCACAGATAAAACTATTCTGTTTTGGATTGGCACACGAGATCGGCCGAGTCAAAAGACAGCAGGCAGCTCCAGAGAACGCGAAGGAAAAGAACCTTGACGTCCTGTTCCAGGACGCGGATGAGCTCCCCGTCCACCTGGCCAGTCTGGGCCACCCGCAGGCTCCTCCGCTCGGCCTTGCGCAGCCGGTACTGCAGGATGCGGCACGTCTTGTCGGCCTGGTCCAGCTGCTGCCTCAGCTCCTGCAGCTGGTACACGTCCTCCTCCATGTACACGTCCCGCATCTCCAGCATCTCCGAGCGCAGCTCCTCGATCTCATCCTGCACGCGGCACACAGGGTGGGGGCACAGGTTAGGATGGCTGGGCTGACTGCATAGCCAGAGGGCTGCAGGTTCAAATCCCAGCTGAGCCACTGCTGTTGTACCCTTGAGGAAGGCACTTCACCTGAACTGTCCGAGTAAAACACCTGGCCGTATATATAGGTGCAAATGTAAGCTGCTTTTGGATAAAATCATCAGCCAAAAATAAATTATCCATCAAACTCTTTCTACTCCCTTGTTTATAAAGCCAAGTTATATCCCAGCATGTATCGCAGATTTCTCACTAACTGCAATATTGTCCATTTAAAAAACTTGTTTAACTGGACTTACTGTATAGGGAACAATATCAAATTGAAGATGTAGAAAATTGGAAAAAAAAAAAGAGATCTGCTTTCAAGAAGTGTGCCTTCACTGGATGAGTTCTATTGCCTTTTCTATAGATTTGGTGATCACATGGTTTAAAGTCATTGAATGCTTGAGTTTCAGGGGTTTAAAGTAGTCTCCTGCTCGATACTTCACAAAGGTGCATTTAGGACATATTTCTATATTATATACAACATATAAAGGCTTTTCCTATGAGTACCTTCACTTTCATGATATACACTTAGTAGAATCGCACAGTTTTTGTAAGGGTTGATAAGAATCAATGAGGAAATAGCACTTCTGCAGGACAAAGTAGACTAAACAATTAAATGGGAGTTTTTCTGCAATGTAGCTATTATTGCTAATAACTTCTGTGTGTACCCTGCAGGCAAGCAATTGAGCTCTAAATAGCTGGGCATGTGCCTTGAAGTGAAAGCAATTTCTCAACAAATTGCATCCTTTGAAACTCCCATTGTGGGAGCTACCCTGATGTACAGTACTAGTACCTTCAACCAGAGACAGCTCAAAAACTGACTTCACAGGTTGGATTGAAGACCGTGTGCTTGAATTTCATTGTGTGCTTATGCACGTTTTCAATTCAAAATATTTAACTGATTAAGGGACACATCAAAAGGTTTTACATTAAAATATGTGCTTATTCCTTCTATTCATCATAGTATCGAAAGACATTACTGAGCAGTTGTTGTTGTTTTTTTGTCCACAGAATCTGTTCAGTCATGCTTACGGCCACAGTCTGATGAGCACATACTGTATAATGGTATCTGAATAGGGTTTTCTTACAAACATGAAAGTTTTATTTAATTAAAATGTCAGTTTTTGCATCGTCACAATGGGGATGCAATACAATACAATGTTTGGCTATTGCTTTCCAAACCATTTTGGAAACCATTGCTGATATAAAAATCCATGTAATATGTTTACCTCTTTCTATTGGATAGAGAAAACCACATAAAGCATGCTATATCCAAAACGTGTAGAAATGTTCACCTCGCTGTCTCCCTCTATATATTCCATAATATCAGTTTGTACAATATGGAAGCATTAGTAGAAACCATCCCAGTCCCTGTTACAAATCCGTAGTAATAAGCAAGATAAAGAATTTATAAGGCCGAATGTGTAGTGAATAACCCTTTTATCTCGGGCTACAGTAAGGCTCGCTGTCATACAGTACGAGTGAATGTAGGTCACTGCAGCGCGAGTCACGTGGGCGCCTGATATAAACAATAGTGGTGTTGGCTGCTAGACGCCTTCTACTGCAGCATCTGGAAGAAGGGGATCGGAGTGCACATCTGCATTATTGAAAATAAAAAAAATTAGGCGGTTGCACTTCACACCGCACGAGTTAACTGGAAAGGCCGAGGTTTGGCATAGGATTTCGCCCATTGGGCAGAATGGGCAAATGCCTCCCTCATCCTAACATTCTCTCCTAATAAGAATGGTAATGGAGTGGCTAGACGAATGAATTTAAAGTTGTAACACATTACAACGTGTTGCAGCACTGCCGAAAACAAAGCATAACCTATCCCAAGCAGGCATTTGGTAAGCGTAAGTGTTTTATTTCGGAACCGTGATATGGTTTTTTAATCCCCTTTTAAACTGCACTATTACACACGATATCACACTATTATGCACTTAAATTAGTGATAACTATTTCAAACAAATCCTTGTCTGGATATTCCCTTTTGCCCACGTAACAGTACCGTTATTTTTTTATTTTAAATGAAAACACTTATTATACATATGTTAAAATTTATTGTATAAATAAATCATTTTGAGTCGCCTGAACGCTATTTATATCTGTTCAGATCTATCCACAGTGATACTATTAGATGCCACAATGCAATTACAGGAGCTTTACCGTTGTCGCATAATACGATAAGCCAAGCTTTTAATCCCAGAGTCACACGGTATCTCCGATTGCAAGTGGGGCAATTAATTTTCATTGATTTGCGATGTATAGTCGAGGTACACAGTTTAATGTGATATTCTGGCACAGTGCAAGACAGAGCTTATTAGCATTTCAAGGAGTGTGACTGCACACTATATCAAAACGGCAATGCATGTAGAGAGAGGAGAAAACCACGTCTTACTTTTAAATAATCATTTTCAGATCTTAGTTCTTCGATCTCCCTCACAAATTCCTCTTGCATCCCATCCATAAATTCCTCCGTTAGGTCGGAAAACGCCAGGGAGGTGCTGACATGCAACCGACTGTCGAAGGAGCCAACAGATCGCTCATCTCCCGGAGAAATGCTCTCTTCCCCGGTCTCCACTCCCAGTGAGAGTCGGTCCTTGTCCAAGGGGTTCTTCCCAGTTTGATCTCCCCTGTTAGCCTTGTCAGATATCCCGTTCGCCTGGCCCGTGCCTGGCTTCTCGCCATCGGCACCCCCACCCCTGCTGCTGGTCTCGGTGTCGCTACTCAGAGCGTCGGTGGAAAGTTTGTTTCCTTCGGAGGCACAATCGGAAAGCTCCGAGCTGCTATCAGAGGGAGAGAGCTTCCCAGGGGCGCAGCCAGAATCCTTGCTTAGATCATCAGATGCAGTGCTGGCGTCGGATATCTTTCTCCTCGCAGACTTTGCCGATTTATTCCCCGATTTATGAGACCCAGAGACAGACGGCGTGGATTTTCCAGGCTGTCTGCTTTTCTCCGGTTTCAGCTCTTTCCCACTCCCCGGGCAGCGCCTGGATATCCGACTGCCTAAGTGAATACCACCGGTCTTGACGCTCAGAGTCGGGGTGCCGGAGCCGCTGCCGCTCCTAATTTTAGCTAACGACCATCCAGGGACATCTTTTGGTCTTGCAGGTGAAGGGGCTCTGTTGACTTTCTTCTTTCCGCTGGTTTGAGGCGGTTGGGAAGTCGGTTGCTCCTCAAACGTCGGTGGTGGTGGTTGTGTCTGCTGACAAATGTCATCGTTCCCTTGTCCGCTATCCATTTTTTGCCTCTGCCTTCTTTCTTTGAGCAAGACAAAATGATTCGGCAATGTCGCATCAGCCTTTGTCTTTGTCATTCATTCCCCTCGAAACAAGCAACAGACAGCAGGAAACCAAAGGATATCTTACTCCCCAGGCAGGGTGATCGAGAACTTGCGAGACGAGCGAAACACGGTCAAGGAAGAACTGCTTTGTTAGATCTTCCCGTTTTTTTTTTTCGCTGTTTGTGTCGGATAATTCCCTTCGGACTTTTTTTCTCTCCCCTTTTCTTAACACGCCTTGCTGTTGCGCCTCCCTTTTCCCTGTTCAAAAGGCACCAGTAGCAACAACAGCAGCCGATCGGGGTTTTTCTCCGCCCAGCAATCGTGGTCTGTCTGTGACGATCCAGTCTGGGCTCGGCTTGGGCCCTAGAGCATCATACTAAAGCTGTTCTCCTTAGTGCATTAACACGGCACAAGAGCGACCTCCCTCTAAGGTAACACAGTATAACCAGGAGGTATCATTGACATTTCTAGGAGCAGAACTCCCGAGCAACCAGCTCCTATAAATTATTTACCTAATCCCGGTGTTACATCAGGTGATGCGTAAAATAATGTCAAGCAGCAGTATTCTAATTTTAAACGCATCTGCGTAAAATCTGTTTGGGTGCAAAATAGATATTCCCTCTGCCTTTCGTTAGTAAAGTGGTTCTATATTTGCTACAGCAGATGGCTTTCGATATTGATATGTTTTAAGAGATTAAATTGATTTACAAATAGATTTCTCTTGATCAGCAGTTGAGGAGCTATAGTTAACGCTTACGTCCCCAACAACAAATGGCACTTACATTTTATTGAAAAGCATACTCCGTGTAAGTTTCGAGGCGTACTATCAACAGCAAAACATCTTTAGCTTATTTTAAAATCCTTAATATTTTTCATGTTTCTGAAATGCAGTCCTTTTGCTTGTACCCTTGTCCGGCAGTAGATTGTTAGATTTCACCGAGAAATAGGCGACTGCAGCTCTGAATGGGAGGGTAAATGTAGTTTCCACCCTCATTTTTTTTTAAACAATTAACTGTCTTATTCTTTTTTTTTCCTCAAATGGCTAGATATGGGTTTTTGGGCATGTTGTAAATATGTCAGATTTGCTGCCGGTGAATCCTGTCTACAGGACGGAGAAGGCAGTGTTGCGGTCTCAGGAGCTACACATCCTGAAATCACATATGAATGCTGAAATACCCCCTGGTATTAGCGTGGAAAAGTAAAGTCGTTTTAATCACCAGGTACTGTGTCCTTTTACACTTGCGTTGCGCCCACGCCTCTCCTGTTCCCTTGTTTCCTCTCCTCAGATTTCCTTTCTTTTTTTTCTTTTTCTTTTCCTTTCACACCTACTCCCCCAGTCCCCTCCCTTCCTAACCCTCCCTGCTCATTTCCATGTTTTACTCGGTCTGCTTGCTAGTGCTTCAGGAAATTTTACTCCCTTTTGTTCAAAGACATACCCCTTGGATTTATATAGGCTATTATTATATATATTTATATATTTTATTACGTTTAGTGAATATAGAGTTCTCATTTACTCTTATACCATTGTGTAGAGCTCCTGTAATCTTGTCTTTTTTGCTTCTCTTTGTGCTCTCTCTCTAACCTTTCCTTTATTTATGCTTCACACCTTCACACGTGAGCCACCAGATATAATTCTCATCAGTTCCACATGAAGCAAACCACCCGTATTATATGTACAGTGTGCGCTATTATCGCACTCTGATTTCCTCTTGCTGTGTCGGAAATAATTCAGGCCTTTTTTAGAAGGGATAGAGAGATATACACTTTTGTGCATGTCAGGATAGGTTCACATTACATTGTATTGATAATAGTGTTATTAAGAAGAGTAGAACAGGGTTGTAATATTGAAATGTTTCACAAGCAAAGTAAAATACATCATTGCAGAGGCATGGTATATGATGTTTACAAAATTCTAACTTTATGACAATGTCATACTGTGTGATTTAAAGATGTGTGGTGCTTAAAAAAGCCTTATTTTGACATGATTTATTGAATGGCAAATTAATGGTTCAATGAACATAAAAGCTATTAAGTAATGGAATCCCTTAATAATTAAACAGTAATTCCCAGGACACATGGTAACTTATATAGGCTCTTCATGATTACAACATAATAGCTGGTTAATTGTGACACATCAGTTATACCGACCTTGTAGAATTGTAAGAATTGTAACATAGGTTATTGTCAAATTCCTCAAGAACATCATGGATAGGTATGACAATATCCCCTTTTTTCTGTACCGAGGTCTCAAAGTGATCACATTTAATGAAATAAAAAAACTAGATTATGGCCAATAAGTGTTGCAAATGGAACTGTGTTGTGTTTAATATTGTTGCTTACAGTAATTGTGTAAATTCCACCTTGGAACAAAACATAAAGGAGACAATTACTGAATGTCAGCTTCTGACACAGGATAAATGCTCACTTTTAACATTCTCATACCAGTCAATTCCTGACAGTGATTGATTAACAAAAGTAAATAATTACATTAAAGGCAAATTAATCAAGAGTTCAGTTGGGATAAACAAATCAGACGTTACAGGAGAACTCCAGGATCACGACTCGGAAGCAAAACCAAAAAAGAAAAGACACAGAAACAAAAACACTGGAGGTAAGAACAAAAAGTTGCCATAAATGTGCTGGGAGTTTCAGCATATTGTACGACCCTGCAAGAGATACAACACAGTCAAGGACCAGCAAGGAAGTGAGCATAAATTAAAGCAACAAGTGAAGGTTTATTCCATGCTGAAAAGAGAAGAAAGGAAACAAAACATTCAGTTCACTAAAGCCACCTTCTTTCTTATACTTTTGCCATCATAACTCAATACTAGGGCTAATATTGTATAGACCAATGAAAATTAGCCAAGAATCGTATACGCAAGAATAAAATGTTTTAACAGGCTAAATGTGTTTTAATATGGCTTTTAAGGAAGAGCTGTACATGGGTGAGTAAAGATAGCAAGAGAAAGAGTACAGTACAGAGATGATTCCATTCAGATTTTAAAAATCCAGGTGTGTTACAATATTTTAAACCCTGTACATTATTTGAGATGTGCATACATAACAAATGAGATTTGTGTACAATAATGGGCTTTGTGTTATACTCATATATATTTCTCTTATTATATCTAAGAACCTGTTTATGATATAGTTATACTGCAGGAGCAATGGTTATTAGCTTTTTGGAAGTATACACTATTGTTAATGGCATAAAAAGGCATCTAGTACTGCCTATCAAGACCTGGTAATATATGCATTGGGGAGTATAATTATGGGGTTCTATTTCATCTCTTCCCTGTGGCTGACTGGAGCCTGTTGGGATCGCGCACTCTGGTGAGCTGATTTAATGGTGTTAGTGGAGATGTCACGGTCCTGATGAATGGCATCCTGCAGTGCAAACATGTGGAGAGAGACACATTAAAAACTGCTTTTGAAATTTGATATCAGCAGCTGTCACCTTGCGCCCTTCTGAGGAACTAGATTTTCTTCGCTATTTCATTTTGTGATTTTACCATTTTGATCTCACATTGTAAGCTTTCAAAAGGAAAAAAAAAGAAAAAAATGAAACAACACATTGGTTTATGAAGATATTAGATTTGATAAAATGTGCATACAGACGTAGTCTTCTTCTGGAAAAAGGAACTCGAACAGATAGCTTCTATTTACCCTATCAGAAATAATTTGCAGTGCACTTTATAGGATTTAAAGCACGTTATATTGTCAGAAAATGTCAAATTAATTTTTGTTATGCTGCACTATATAGAGGATTTCCTTCTTTAATGTCTGACCTACTGGAAAGATACTGATTCTTGCCAACAGTTTCCTTTTGTTGAGAAAGACCAGGTTCTTTAACAGTCATTATAGTCAACAGTACTCTATCGCCATCTAAGGGATATTCTCCAAAGTGTAAACCTTTGGGCTTTGTGGGTGACTCGTTAATGAAAGCAGCGATAAGATACTGTATGCAATCCCAGTGTCTAATGATTTCTGTTGTCTCTTGTCTCTTGTTTTCAAAAAGCATGTGGTCAGGTTCGATATCTGAAGCACTGTCAGTTATACTACGAAGGAACACACCGTGTGAAACTTTGCAAGTTGAAAGTAGGAAAAAGGACTAAAATGACATTATCGTTGTCCCATAGCACTGATTCGTTAGCGGTGTGTGTTTTAATGAGGTGCAGATTATTAGTAACTTTATAGAATTCCAGCATTCAAAAACCACACCGAGATGTGCAATAAATACCATGAAAACTTTACACAGAAAGGCGCTCGCTTCCAAAGCGTTAACCATTGTTTATGTGGTTGCTATGCTTTGTTCAAGGAGATCTGTTAACAATAGATGAAGCTCTCTGTGCTTTCACTGTGAAAAAGTAATAAACGACAGACTCGGCACTGCAATTAATACATTCCTTTCTCACTCCTTTTAGCTTCTGAGGGTGGGAAAGGCTAAACTGGTTTGTCTGTTAAATCTATATGAACAGAGTTCATATAGACTGAACAGATAAGCCTACGAAGCAGAGATGAAGCTTGTGACTGTGGTAGATCTTATGTAATTATGACCAGTGAAAACTTTTAACTCTGGCTTATAATTCTAGTCTTTGTAATTGTGGTTTCATAGACTACACTATTTTACAAAGTTTTTAGTTTTATAATACTGATATCAACACAATATTGCAAGATTATTTATTATGAATATGGCCTTGCTCCATACAGTATACAACAGCTTGTGTTACTTTAACTTATCTCTCTGATCCCCATGTGCTTTTTCAGAACATTAGGGCAGCTGCAGATGAGATTAAATCAATTGGCCCATATCTCTCAAGTCCCATAGCCAATACATGGAACAAACACCTCCTCTCTCAGAGGTAAGAAGTCCTCTTGAAACCTCTTTTGAAAATGCATAGGTTAGAGCAGACAATCAAATCTAACCTGCCTGTCTTTGGGAGGTGGGAAGAAACTAAGGTACATGTCGAAAACCCATGTGAACATGGGGAGAATATTCCAAATACATGCAGGCATGAAATGGCCAAGAGGTCACTCTTAACATATTTCCACTCATAACGAGTCTGTATTCCAGCACAGTGAGCAAGCTATTATTTGAAGTCAAAGAAAGGCAGAATGTTTGAAATGTTTGTATGCTCCCTCCCAAATCAAATACACTTCACTTTGTTGATAAGACTGTAAAAGGTGAAAGCATGTAATCACTTGTGATTCTATTTATTTTTCTAAGGTGGAGATCAAGCAGGAAAAAAAACAGGAAAGAAAGTGAAGAAACCTGATTCAGAACCTCACAAGCCGCACTTGCTTTTTGTTTTACGTTTCTTCTTTTGGAAACACCCAGAGTAGATTTGACATTTTGTGCTCCTTTGTTTATAGGTTCTGCACATGGAAAAAGCTGTAATAAAGTACCTGTCACGTCTTTGGTAAACCATTGATAAGCCGTCAACAATTAAACTGGGCAGAGACATCTCCAAAAAGGTGAGGGACTGTTGTTGTTCTTGAGCAAGGTACGTCACAAGAATTGTTTTAGTAAAATATCCAGCCGTATAAAAGTGAACGAATTTAAATCGCTTTGAATAAAAGCGTCAGCAAAATAAATTATCAGTAATAGGAGATACTGTACTCTCCTGTTTTTTTTGCACTTGAAATTGCAATTCTGTTACTAGTAACGTACGTTATATTAATACACGACCTTGACAAACAGGACAAGGTTTTCTACTTCACATAGAGCTGTCTGGCAGCAGCTCGTATTAAAGCAACATTTTAACCCGAGGAGAAAGAAAAAATACATCACTACTGTACTTAACAGTTAGCGTCTTGTTTGTCAAGCACTGGTAACCCACAAGCAAGGTCAGAGAGAATTTGTGACAGGCTCAGATTATTTTGCCAGACAAATACCTCTCAGTATTTTTAGATTTCACTCTCGCTCTCTAAGGGAAGCAAGCAGGCAACTACTGTATAAACAAGTAAGTTGAAGAAGTTCAGAAAAAAGTTTAATTTTATCCATTCATCTTTTAAAATCAAAGTGTTTCTTTAGTTAATGTTTTAGAAAATATGTGTAGTATTTAAAGGGCAGTTACTTTGTATTGTATGCTATTTTTTCAATCATCCGTTTAAAACAAATTAACTGAAGTATATCGAACGCAGCATAATATACAAGCTCTTTTTGTAAAATATTGCTTGGTTGCAATTGTCTTGGTTGACGAAAACAGACTGAGATATTTCCTGCTAAAATCATACAAAAACCACATACTGTAAGTAGGGTGCTTTATTATATTTTCATATTATAAATGGATATTCGGCTTTTACAATCTCAGTGGTATCACTTTAAGACTTTAACGAAAATGCACCATTTTTGACCATTTTTAATCACGACTCGATTTAATTTTTATTAGCCCTGCTTTGGAATAACCAGAAAAAAGCGTGTGTGTGTGTAAAAAAAACCACCTGCGCTTCCTACCACATGCATGACACCGAAACGTGCTTGGCAACTGTTACAAGCTAAAGGCCATTAACAGCCTTCATTCCACAGTGTAAATTTGATAACACTTCCTCCACAACAAAACTAGGGACCTCCCCTCTGTCACTGGAGGGCAATACCAGCTTAGGGACGTGATTGGCGCACTGAGGAAACGCGATTTTCTATTTGTACACTTAGCTGTCAGTTATCCACGTCCCCGCCTTGGCCCTCTGGCTGGTTCCTCCTGCTATCAGGCGGCTGCCCTGGTGAGATCTGATAGGGCGCTGGCCCTGTCAATCACACCGCCCTTGTAACCACTTCCGCCTCTGTGTCAGTGCGGGGAGCTCAGTTTGTTGCTTTTGCCTTGTTGGATAAATATAACAGTTTCGGACTCCAAAACCTTGCAGGTAAACGGGTTTTTGCTCTTGTTACACAGCCTACGTGTTAAGTTAGAGATTAAGCTTGTTTTCATTGGCGGTAACCCCGGTGCGAGGCCTAATGTCAATCCCTAGCTACGTCCAGTGACTGGCTTCTCTTATCAATAACTTATGAGAGAACTGGTCTTGTTTTTAGTGGTGTTAAATGAAAGTTGGCGCTGTCGTCGGACCAGGTTGATCTCTGAAGGCAACCAGATAAGATTTTAACTTAGGAGTTATGTGGTGAGTGGACTGTGCGGGCATAGATAGCTAATGGAGTCAGCCCCCATCTTTCTGGAAAACAGACCTGCTTGAACAGGAATGGTGAGAGTCTTTTCTGGTGAAAACAACGGACTGTCTTGTGATGCTGTCACAACATCAGATGTTTTTAGAGCTGTGAAGGGCCATTAGTTCGGGTCGAGGTATATCTTTGCTTCTACCAGAGATGTTATCCTATTTTCTTGCCTTCCCTAAAATCAAGTTCTTTACATTTGGTCACTTGAGTTTTAAGGATGAGCAATGCAGCAGCCCACTGGCTGGGGTCGACCAGTACCGATCACTATTTAAACTGCTGCATGAAACGATTCATGCTGTACTTGTATTGCAACTCTTTATAATCTGTAAGAAAACGGATGTGGCCATATTCGCGATCCAGTTTGTGATTGCGCATAAAAGATGAAGTACCTACCCAGTTTGTGCATCTCTAATAATCAGAGATTTACATTGTAGTGCTCTTTTGCAACGGGCTGGGAAAAATATGCTAAAGCCAGTATTCTTGTTTGTTCTTTTAAGTATATTTTTTTAATCTGTGAAATACTGCATTTTCATCAACGGAAATCGAATTAGTTCGGGGGAAAAATGTTTGTTCAAAGCTTTTTCGTATTGAGTAAAATATGTACGCCACATTGATAATTGTGCTGCCCTAAAAGTTAAAAAGACTTAAAATATAGTGTACGACAACAATGCTTAAACTGTTTGCTATTGTAATGTGAAGCAGTTAGCTACAACGGGCAATTTGTTTTCACCTTTATTACTGCTATAATTTTCCACTCTGAACTAATGTTTTTTCTCCCTGATTTTGAAATAATAGATGCGATGCATTAGTGAATTCTCCAGGTGTGTACGTCTCTGAATGATTGCTGGGTGGCTTTGTCTTTTAATGCAAAGCAGATATAGTGATTCTACTTAACCCTGTATGCTCATAAACCACTTTAAACTTGTATTTTAATGCACATAAGTATTTAAAAGGCTATTGGCTTCGTTGCACTTTGTAGTTTGGTAATGAAACCACAAAAGTGAGAGTTGGACAGCCAAAGTCTCAGACAGAAAGGGGATTTTTGAATATGAGCCTGGTTTTATTTAGCCCTAGCTATTAGTAACCACTTTTTGAACAGTAACAGATCTCCAGAGAGCTGAAAGAAAAGGTATATATTAACCACATTACAAAGAAGGTTGGAGGGCAATCGCAGAAGGAGCTCGCAGGTGTTTTGCAACTCATTTGTAAAGCAGTTAGAACTCAGTTGTATCTCTGGTTCAAAAACATTAATGCTCAGTCTTTTCTGATACTGCTTTTCATTTTTTCCAGCTTTGAAGTTGCAGGGACAGTCTAACCTGCATCAGTAACAACAAAGTCTTAAAAAAATGTTGTGAGCTTTAAATTGAACTCATATGGCAGTTTGTGAATGCTGCTATAATTAATAAGAGGCATGATGACATAGGTACCTCAGTCATGCCCATGTGAAAGGAATATCATCTTGTGAAGTCTGATGAGCCTCATTTAAAAAATTAAGAGACATCTTTCATTGAAGGTATGCAAAACAATAAACTAGATAAAAGACTGTGCTAGTACAGTGACTCAAACATAGAGGAGTCCAGGAAACCTAAAAAACCATAAAGAATTTTCTCTCCTCTATAATCTATTATTTATTACTGGGATAATGTGTCTGTATGCAGAAGCGGTACAGTGATCAGGTCTGCTGTAATACTACACTGACAAAAGGCAGGTGCTGAAATGTAAATGTCCAGAACATTGTGCAGCAGCGCATCTGAAAATAATAAAGCTGCATGAAGGAAATATAGTAAAGATTTTATTTGTTTTGTTCCTGGATTAAAATAAAAAGCTCATAAGATTGTGAAGCACTTTAAAACTCAAGTCTGTGCTAAGTAGTTTAGTGGTGAAGACTTGGTGAAGGAGCTGTTTAAACAGTAACCCCTGTGGGCTACATACCAGTTGATATTAAATTATGATATAAAACAGCACTTCTGACTTTAATATATTTGCAGTTTTGCAGCAATATATTAACAGTTTGCTTTGTGCTGTTGTATGATAGTGTTTTCCACAATCCAACCCTAATATGGGGGACCCTGTATACTAAATAAGAATCAATTAGCAGAAAATGTTGAAGGGAAGCAATATTGCAGAAAGTCTAATTTTAACTCACTTGAGATTGGAGATTTAGGAAGGCCTAGTTCTTCAGGCTCTGTGTGAGTCATGGTAATGAATGAAAGAGAGAGGCAGTGCAATGTTCCATTTTCATCATCTAGATGGATGCTGCACATTGGTGGTGGTGGATTGGGAGTTCCCATTATCTGTAAAGCGCTTTGAGTGGAGTGTCCAGAAAAGTGCTATCTAAGTGTAAGCAATTATTATTATTATTATTATTTTCTTGGTCCTGTCATAAATTAGTGTGCCAGGAAATGGATTCTCCTTGCATTTGCACGTCTCATAAAATCTTTGCAGTTTCATGCACTACATAGAATTATAATATTGCTATAATTTTGTCTTTTGTCAAACCAAGTTTGTTTAGAAAAAGTCCTTTGTGATTGTTAAATGTATTCTTAATGGTAGTAAGAAATATGGCATATTTAAGAAAGCTTGCTTGCCATACCTATTTTACAATATGTTACACCATTTCTATATTGAAAAATAGATGGGTTGTTGGGGTTGAGGGAGGAGAGATCTCACTGATGGAGTTTCAGGTTTTGTCACTTTAACCTCTGGATGTGATATCAGGGAATATGTCTGAAAGTTTAAACACCTTTAGGGGCAGGAACAGTGTGATTTTAAGGTATCGCAGCAACGCTGACTCATAGAAACCTCAGCGAAGTGTGTGCATTTTGTATCCACCCGAGATTTCCGAGTTTCACAACCTCAGTCTATTGTTGTAAACCAGAAACAAAGGTTAATTCGTCTTAAAGTGCGTTGTTCCCTTACGTTTAACATGCAGGGATTTGTCAGCAAGATGCTGCTTGTGTCACACAGCAAAATGGGCAACATCAGTTGGCTGACAATGACCTCAGGCAGTATATACAGTGAGATAATCCATCGAGTCTTTTTGTTTTCCTCCCTAATGTCACCATACAGATTCCATACGTCTTTACTCTGTTACCTAATTTTTTGAGTAATGGTAAAGACTTAATAAAAAAAATCAAACTGGCCCTCCTTTGTTCAATATGCGGTGTTGTACTCAGGAGCAAGATTGAATAATCATTCCCCTTTACTTGGCTGTCGGAATCTTTGTGTGGTGAATTTTGTAAAACCTAAAGCTACTGCGTTTTGCACCAAGATGATTTAATTGTGAAGTAAAGTTCATGCCCCCACTCCCAGAAGAAAGTTATTGATTGGGAGCTGGTAACTTGACATATGTAACACACCTGAAAGACCGACATATTGTTTAACAAAAACTAATTTGTTTGTGTTCCTTGGAAATGCTTTCTCTAATGTCTTAAACATTCATTAGTCTCAGTTACTAAGAAGTTGTAAAATTGTTTTTTTTATAGGTGCATTAGGGGCATACTGTACTAAATTTGGTTTGGAGTGTTCTCAATGAATCTGGGTGTAACTATTCTTACTGTCAGACAATCCTTGGCCTTAATGTGACTCAGCTAGTTAAACAAGATTCCATTCAAATGAATTTGCTGGACTGTTTGCTGAAGCCGAAAATGCAAGGTCTGTGGCTCTGATAGGCAGATACAGTAAGCTCCATGGCGAGTTTGGAGGTAAATGCTGACTTTAATCAGAAATACGGATTAGTTGAAACAGTGTCGAATAGGGCACTGAAAAATATTGTAATTTTTCACTGTGTTAGTTTAAATTATTTGCTATGTTCTGTAACTTAATTTAGTTTTAAACTAAAAATAATTCATTATATGCGTGTTAAAATGGTGTATTACTTGAGTTCTGAAATTCTTTTAAGTGGTACATAACTTGGTTGTGCTAGTGTTACACCAGTTTAGTATGGACTGTGTTTTTGATCAGCTATTACACCAGTTCCAGTTGCTTTAGTTACCAATGTTCCTCTCAGGCCATTGTCCTGTTTAGATCATGCTATTGTTTGAGTGTTTACAGTGTTTCGCACTGTAATTGCTCAGAGATCAGGTACACACTAGTAAGGGACAATCAATAGCTATTGGGGTAAACAAGGCACTAAGTGGAAACATCAATAATTTCTGATATGAGTTTATTAGCAGCCCTGTAGATACAGGCTAAAGTTGTACAGTTGTTGTCTGTTACAAATTCTAGTATTACTGGAAAACATCAAGGTAAAAAACTGAAGTTGCCAAAAGTGTACATGTATTTTGTCATAATTTAATTGGATATTTATCAGCATTCTGACACTTGTGGAATCACCTGGGATGTGACTTATAGGAATGTGGTATCATAGTCACGTTTGGTTATGAAATGTGAACTTCTACCTGGTACTGTAGAAACCTAATTTCTGTGTATTGAAAGGGATAGTTTTGTCTTTCATTCTTAGCACACATAACTAAATTGGTACAAGGTTTTGGAATTCTTTGCTTATGCTAGATCATAGCTGTGATTTCTCTTTTAAGCACACAAATGTTTTAGGCAGATAATGTCAGTGAGTAATTTGTAAACTGAACATGTTGTAATAGATCGTAATTGACTAAATATCTGTTGGACTGGCACTTGCTATGGTATTTTTAAAATTAAGACATTTGTTGATTTAATAGGCCGTCATCATCTTGGTTAGTCAGGAAGTGAATTAGTTATCAGAATGTGTCCATTAGGCGAGGTAATGATTTTGCTCATGGAGTGATTTGGAGTTGAAGTTTAAACTGTTTGACATGGTTTTTTTATCTAATCTAAGTAATAGATTAGGCTTGGTAAACAACACCTGTTCAGTACAGAATGTTTTCTTAAAGGAATAGTGTTGAACAGTTGGGTTCAATCTTTCAGTGTCTTGAGAAGAGGCTGGAGATCTGAAATCCCAGCAGTGTGAAATCGTTTCGCTTGCAAAATATTTGTGTAAGGCTATGGAAGCTATAAGCTATGTTGTTGGTGAATATGCATGCCTTATGTCTGGTAAATTGCTGAAAAGGCAGGTCTCAGCCTGGTCCAGTTGCATCTCATTAGATAATAGTTGTCTCAGAGACTCTCAACTGATAAAGCAAAAATGAATTCAGTGTCTTTCTGGATTGATTGCTGCTACTTTTTTTCATTTATGGGGATGGAAATGTTCACGTCGGAGAGGACATGTGAGTGTAGTTTTCCACTGCGTCTCCAGATTCTGTTTTAATGTTACTGAAATGAATATTGTATGACATAGTAACTATATTGTACTTCACTTAGATCATGGTATCTTTTGTACAAAGACAATACAGTCATTCTGAACAGTATTGGTATGAGGTGAACATTTTGTTTTTTGTTACCTCGTACAAGTGTGACTTTGTGTATAAAACAATACTTCTGTCAGTGAGAAAGTAGGAGGCTGGTGGTGTATTGGACCCATAATCACACGCATTTACTTTTATTTCTCGTTTTAACAATCTGCAATTATCTTTCTTGTCAGTGATTCCCACACTCTTAATACATTCAGCAAAGACACTTTTTTATTCAATTGGCAAAATATAGGTGCCATTAGGTATCCAATATGTACAGTATCATATGTCTAGTAAGAGTATTTGTATTTTTCCAAACCTTATTAATACACCAGAGAATATTAAGAAGATTTATTTATGTAAATATATTTGTATAAATGGCATCTACAGTACTGCTTTGGGAGAGTAAACGTGAATTATAAAGAAAATGTATTTTTCTTGCTCTGCTTAGTCCTTGGTCTGCTTGGATGATTTCAGCTGTATTTTATGATCCTGAGCCCTCCACAGAGTTTTGAAAGTTAAAGGAATTGAAGAAGTACTGAAGTTTGTAATGAAAGCTGGGTAATATTAAAATTAATAATTAACTGCATCTGAGTTAAACAAGCATTAAGTTACTTATTTTTTATTTATAAATATGGTTATATTCAAATATCTGTTAATTTATATATCCAGTCAGGTTTTAGATTCACGTGGTATTTCAGGGATCATTTGATCTTTTTCAGTGGCCTAATGGTAAGAGTTGTTCCTAGCCACTAATGCCTCTGACTGTGACAATGAAGGAAACCTTGCGCAAGGAAACCCCCGTACCAAAGTACAAGCAGTTCTTTTATAATGTCGCAGAATCACTGATGGTTGTAATTACAGAAGGTATCTCTACATGCACATGAGATGTACGTTTATGTAAAAATAAATTCAATTAGATACAAAAGGCCAAATAATAAAAGCACAACTGCTTTCTTCAGGTATCCCTCTCAGCTCATCTGTGGGTCTGGAGAAGGCCTCTGCTGATAAAGATTGTTCTGTAGTGAGCAGCCTAGTAGTGTGGACAGTAATTCTAAATTAGGTCAAAAGGACTTTCTTTTCATATTGCTGAGTGTTTATATTTTCTGCTTACCTAAAATGGAAATGAAGCTCTATGTAATTATTATTATACTTCCAGGACTTTTAATTTTAATTTCCCACTTATGATTTCTCTTCTCCATAGGAGACAATGCTCTTTGTTTTACAGTAAGGCGATGAAAAAGCCAGGTCACACTTTTGTAAAATCCGGTTAGGACTTGAGAAAGCTCACTGCCACTGAAGGTTCTCCTTTTTTCCAACAGCTCAGTGCTTTTGTGAAAACACTGAAGTATCAAGTTGGTTTCTTCTGTCAACACGGAGTGGTGCTTTTCTTGGTGGTACCCCAGCCAATGTGTTTGTTTTCCCCGAACAGCATCCAAAACATACTGTAGTGCTTAAGGTGAGAAGAAAGCTTTCCTTTTGGACTGCTACCGTAGGTTCTTTGGGATTCAAGGCAATGCTTTTCCCTCCCAGTTTATCAAGTCCTGTTATTATGAATGATGTGAGCATTCCCACCATCCCACACCTAAAGATAAATCTCTGCTTAACTAGGATGTAAATATTTACTGATTCAGTTGTTTTTAGAAATTCAGTTGTCATTTAGAAAATGACATGGCTATTTGTGTGTACTGTACTGATCAACCTTAGTATTGGAAATGATGATAATGCCCCTTTTCACCCTATTTTATGATAACACTTTCAAGATTGCCTTCTTAACCCACACGGGGCACAGCATGCAGGAATTGTTTTACTCCATTGGTTGGGGGATGTTTGCTGACGAGATTAGCGTGCATGTTTTTCGGGGGAATCTGTGATCTCTGCCTGTCCCCCATCAGTTATTGCTTAATTCCAAAATCAATGGGGGAGAAAAACACATTCAAAAAGGGGTCTTCTGAATTGTCTGTGGGGGTCCCCAAAAGCAAACTGGAAATGTTAATACCCTCTCAAGTTATGTAGTAGTAATAAAAGCAGCACTCACAGAGCAGCTTAATTCCTAACATGCCTTAAAGTAGGCCCCGCTGATTCCTGGTTCTGCTTTTTAATGTTTTGTACTTGATAGCTTAAGTTCTGTAATAATAGTGTACGATATTGTATTTTTTCAGTTTTTGAAATTTATTGTGGTTAAAGACCTGGTAGCCTAGCAGCTTCATACTCATGCTTTATTTAATTTGTAACTAATACTGGAGTTGGTCAGCCTAGATGATAACGTGTTAGAAAACGCTTTTCCTGACATCTTCCTTGGAACCACAGCACCAGTTGAAAAGGAAATGAGCAGATTTCATCATGAACCGAAGCTGCTTCAGACTTCCATCTGCAAAGCTGCCACGATCATATTTATACCTGCAATTAGCAAGAAACAGCTTTGAGAAATGCAGTTGACACTAAACAGTGCACTGCTCCCTGCTTTGAAGTGCATTAGGTCACTTAACTCCAGACATTGGAGTTCACATTATTGTGCCAGTACAAGTAAAAATGTTGCAATACGGGGTTCCTAAACTAAGATGTCTTCCTGACAGACATTTGTTTTGCATATCGCCAACAAACAAAAAAGAACTGTTTGGCCAATTAACTCCAAACTTGGTAATTATCATTCTAGTGGCAGTGCAATTACAGTGTGGCAAAATGAGGTTTCCATGTAAACCACAGGCTTCTCTACCTCCCTTTTTCCCTCAGCTACGTGTCCTGTGCTGCAAACTGCTCTTCTTTGAAAACTCTTTGGCCAATTAACTCCAAGCCTGGTTGGTATCATTCTATTGACAATACAGTTGAAGTATGGTGATAGGGGGTTGATGTGTAATCAAAGTTGACCACCTGTCCGCTCTGTTGTTCTCTTGTCCATACATGCCTGTTACACTGCTGTGCAAAACCTGTTTTCCCAGTCAAGTCTAGGAGAAAATACACTTCCAGTATCAAACAATGGGGCTGCTGTATAACTCAAAATAGCCAGCTGACTGCCAGTGGTCATTTGCGCTGTTGCAACCTTAACAATCAAATTGCTTCTGGTTGAATGCAAATGATCTTCAAAAATGGCAAGTATTGTATCTGACATTAGTTTTATTATGCTTACCAGTAATACAGAATCCTAGCAACAACCTACTGTAGCTTTTCTACAGTATTTTACAACTAGGATCTTTACTTAGTGCTTTTTGGTTTCTGAATTAGTGAAGACACAGATAATTATTTCACCTTCTTTCTTTTTTACAAATTTGTTTACCAGAAGTAGTATCATGTTATTGGACCATAATATTGTTACTTTGTAACTTGCTGGGAAGCTTTCAGATGTGCTTGCCTATTATAACACATTTTCTGCTTATAGACTGGTGTTCCATATATTTCTATAGTTCTTATTGAGATAAAGAAGGGTCTTCCCAGCTCTAGACAGTGAAACATTCTAGTTGGGTCAGAAAATGGTTTTACATATTTAGCCTTAGCATACTACTTCCTTTAAAACATACATAACCTCAGGTGACAATTGGTCAAACAGAGCATGTTCTCTGTTTTTCAGAAACTTTGTAAAAAATTATTATTCACCAAAAACAACATGACACCACTGAACCAGATGAGTGTAATTTGTTGCTGGTAGAAATGTGGCTATAATTGCTAGGGCCATAGGTCTACTATATATGCTCTACATTTCCATATGTTCAAGACAAGAAAAGCAAAAACAGATATCTTACAGTCAATGAATGCAGCCCAGTTGTAACTACATTCGAGAGCATGAATTTTTGTTTTATTGTTTGGTTTCAGGCCTTCTGGCTTAGCAGCTAAGAAATCCACGGGACAAGCAACACGTCTGCCACACGACAGAACAATGTACTAGAGAAACGACAATTGAACAGACGCAGTTGTAGTTTAGAAAATGAACAGCGAGGAGGAGTTTTTTGATGCCATCACAGGTAAGAAACCACTTCGAAGCATAGCGAGAGATACATAGATGTAACCACTTTGCTCAACAAATGCTGAGGAAGCAGTGGTCAGGGAACTGGACTCATAACTGGGAGGGTGTGGGTACAAGTGTACCCTTGAGAAAGGCACCTCACCTGAACTGTCCCAGTAAAATTTCCAGCTGTATAAATGGGTGCAATTGTAGGTTGCTTTGGAAATGTGTGTCAGACAAATTAAAAAAAGTTATTACTAGCACTGAATAGTATCATCTTCCATCACGTGTGCAGTGTTTCAATTATGCATTAACCTATTCTATTATGTAATGGATTTCATTGTAATGTCTTGCTGCGGGGCAATAAAGGCCCAAGAGCTAAAGTATTATGTATCATTATGCCATTATGTACTACATAGAAGCAGATGGCTTTGTTGATAAATGATGTGACCCCTGAAAGCTTTGAATTAAATCAGCTAATTATTTCTTTATTTATTTCCAATTAATAAGCATGCCTAAATCATCACTTTCATATACTGTATGTAAAATGACATAACCTTTGTTTAAATGTTTTGAGTCCTAAATAACAGTTCAGTAATCTGTTTTTTTATTTCCTGTCACTTGCACATGTGTCTCTGTTCTGAAGCTAATATATGCATAATATGCAGAATAGATTGCCTAAGGCTGTTTGTTTTATGTCGATTAATCTCTGAAAAGATTATTCTGAAAATGTCACTCAGGCTCAGATGTTCACAATGTACAGTGCAAGGTAGAATTAGTATTATTGTAATGCCGATTATGTCAGAATGTAGTGTTTCTGATAGATCATTTTTAAATTTAAAATGGCACAAGCAACGTGACATCAAAATGAAAGTGAACTGAGAGGTGTAATTATGAAAAGGTGTGAATTATTAATGTCAGTCCATGGAGATATACAGTTATGCAAAACCATTAATACAATAAGTATGAAACCCTTTGAGTTATAGGAGAAAAAACTAACATATAATGAAGAATTTTAATTCACATTTGAGGAAATGTAATCAATATAAAAAAATATACAGAAAGAAGCACCTACTGCTCCTGCTGTGATACAGCACACCTTAAATAGCAACATGGCTTAAAGGGAGTGATAATATGTTTGCCGTTTCTGGTTTTCAGGATTAATATAGAAGAAGCTAGCAGTATGAAATGTTAATTCTTACCTCTAAGAACGATAGAAAACAATGTCTGTATTATATTATAAATATTTTTGTTTGCATGTGCATCAGGCTTGGAGTCGGATGAATCCTGCGAAGGTACATCAGAAACCAGCTATAAAGATGCAATTGTTTTTGATGGAGGCAACATCAGTCAGAGCAAGAATGGGACTACGCCACAGGAGAATGGAATCAAGCAGCGCAGGTATAGTCAGGTTCCAGCTCCATTACCATGGGGAGGATTTCCCCAGAAACCATTCTTTGTCATGAAAAGATTTGTGATATTAAAATGCTTTCTCATTGCTTTTAAGCTGCTGACTGTCTAACCCGTATATCTGAGATTTTTGGGGCACTGGGTTTAAACACGTACTGTAAAGGTTTCATAATGGTAATCCCACTGCTTCAACCCCAAACTGTAAAATGTTTGTTGCTGTGTCTTCCAGAACAACCTTGCCAGCGCCAATGTTTTCCCGAAATAATTTTAGCGTGTGGGGAATATTAAAGAAATGCATTGGACTGGTGAGTAAACCACCATGGTGCTCTTTCTGTGTAAAGACACTCTGCTGGTGTGAGTCCTCATTTAACAGGGAATGCTGGAGAAGAGAAACTTCAGCTCAGCCACACAAGAAGGCTAATAAATAATGTTTTCTAAGATGAAACATGGGAGACAATATTCCAGTTATGCTGCATGTATTTATGTCTTGTTTTTAAGTTATGTACTTGGGTCTCAAAGTATAAATATTCATATTATGATAATTTGTAATTCCTTACGCTTAAATAGTACTTTTCTGGACAGTCCTCTAAAAGAGCATTACGGGATGCTGTGATGGCAGCCTGAGTGCGCCAGTACACTCACCACCACACCAGCTGTCAGTGGGGAAGAGAACAGAGTGATGAAACCAATTTGTAAATGGGGATTGTTAGGAGGCCGTGACTGGTAAAGGCCAATGGGAATTCTGCAGGATAAGAGTAGTAACACCCCTACTCTTTTCAAGAAACTTCCTGGGATTTTTAATGACCACAGAAAGTCAGGACCTCGGTTTTACATCTCATCTGAATGACAGACTATTTTTCTGTTTATGTCAAATAAAGATTGTATTTGTTCTATACAACAGTGATGGAAAAATAACTGACTTTTTTTGTGTTTCAGGAGCTTTCCAAGATAACGATGCCTATAGTATTTAATGAGCCACTGAGCTTTCTGCAGCGAATCACAGAATACATGGAGCACACATACCTCATTCATAAAGCGTGCTCTCTCTCAGACTCTGTGGAAAGGATGCAGGTGATCCATTTAGATTTTTTTGTCTTTCTGTGTCACGTGTTCTAAGAGAGTTTTGAATCTGGTTTGAGCAATTTCTGAGATATGAGTAGACACGACCTAATCTGATTCAACTTGTCTTGTGCGGTCAAGGATTTAAGATGCAAAAGAGATACAGGGACATTTTGTGTTATCTGTTATGTCTTATCTGTCTTATCTTGCTATTCTAACATATCTACACAGCATCTAAAGTACTTTTAAAATATATCTGAATGTGAACCATTACGTACATAGGAGACATAAAATCTATTTTATTTCCAAGGCGGTATATATACATTTTTTGAACCACGATTCTACTTACTATTCTCTTAAAGATCCTAGCTTAATAAACTTTAATGTTTTCATGATATCAAAAATGGACCCAATTGAATAGTTTACTGCGGTTTGTTTCTCGAGGAATCATGAATAAGAAAAAACATTTAGATTAAAATGACCTCTTCATCAGACAATCCTGATTGCTTGCTTTTACTGGAGTGATTTATACTTGCTGAGCGTGTTGCTCTCTTCCAGGCTGTAGCTGCTTTTGCTGTGTCTGCAGTAGCATCTCAGTGGGAGCGAACTGGGAAACCATTCAATCCGCTGCTAGGAGAAACCTATGAACTCACACGGTGAGGACTCATTGTCCAAATACATTTTGGTTAGAGTGTTTTCTAAAGAGTGTAAAGGTATTTGTTCTCAGCAAGATGCTACAGTACAAATGTGCTGTGAAGGATTCCACTACAATACAGAAAGACTGATAGCAGTGCTTGCACAGTTACTATTACAATGTTTCCTCAAACCATAAAAAGGCAAGAGGTTTTTTTTCTTCAGATTTCTACATCCTCTTTTACTTCTCTGTCTCCACCCTTGCTGTTTTTACTCTTTCCCTGGTTGTGTTGCACCTGAAATCTGTTGAAAAGTTCCCACAATGATGTTCACAATGTGTGGTGGGAGCTGCTCATTGGACAGTGAGCCAGTTAGATATGATTTGGTTGTGTACATCTGGCTGACCATATATTTACTAGAAGAAGCCTTTAAACCTTTAAGTTGTATGACAATAAGGAAGAGTACAGTACGTTGATTTTTAAATTATTCATTTTAGCTTTATTAATATTGTCTTTACAAATGTTCAATTCAAATACAATACATTTTGTTTTAGTTAATTTGGCCCAATATCCCACAGTTTGTTAATTTCCTTAAGACAAAAAGACGAACAATTACACAAAATTTCAAATTTAACAACAGCATTGTGGCCTCATGTGAAAGTTCATGGTGGCAGTCAAAAAGTAAGGTTTCTTTGAATAAATAATATTTTTTCACACAATGGGGTATTAAAGAGTTATAACTTTGTATTTTCATATTTTCATACGAAAGTTATTTTTAGACCAGGTGTAGGTTTGGATAATTAGATGAAAATTACAATTAGATCATTTGGATTAATGGTTTTGTGTTCTACTTCTAGAGCGGATCAGGGATTTAGGCTCATATCTGAACAGGTCAGCCATCACCCTCCCATTAGTGCTTTCTACTCCGAAGGCATTAACAACGACTTTGTTTTCCACGGCTCTATCTACCCCAAACTGAAGTTCTGGGGTAAGAGTGTAGAAGCAGAACCCAGAGGAACTATCACCCTAGAGCTGCTCAGGTAAGCATAATCTTCAGAACCAGTCTCTTTCCTTAAAGCTTTTCAGTATTCCTACTGAAAAAAAACTCAGGCTGGTTAACAACACTGTTAAATTGTCTCTTTAATTAATGCATTTATTTTAACATCACCTATTAAATATACATGCATATGTACTGTACTATGTATTTTTTACAACAAAAATGTTAATGCTTTAATTACCCAAACATAAATCTTGTAATAGTTTTTTTTAGCTTTCAGATAACTTACTGGTTGGTTATTGGCTCTAAGGGAGAAGAATGGAATTGCATTTTCAGTTTTGTTTGCTCAGCTTGACATATTTTGTCCCCTCTTCAGGCATAAAGAAGCTTACACATGGACAAACCCTTCCTGTTGTGTACATAACGTTATTTTAGGCAAACTTTGGATAGAACAGTATGGAATGGTTGAGATTATCAATCACAGGTAAGCAAACAGTTTTCTCTCATGTGCTTTAGCCTTTGGCTAAGGCATTTTCTGCCTCTAGCTATTCTGTGTACTAGAAATACTTGAATGCTTACAAACCTTGGCAGTATAAATGGTTAGTTACACCAGGAAAGATCTGTGTATTTGCAGCCATTTCACATGTATGTGCATTGTACTAGATATGCTTATCATACTCAGTTAATACATTATCTAGAAGAGTTTAACCTGATCCCATGGTTAAAATATTTTAAATTGTGATTGATTGCCTTGCATGCAAAATTAACAGGGCTACCTTTTCCCCTGTGCTTTAACAGTACCGGAGAGAAATGTGTTTTGAACTTCAAACCATGTGGGATGTTTGGGAAAGAGCTCCACAGAGTTGAAGGGTACATTCAGGACAAAAAGTAAGTTTTGGAAACTGAGCAACATGGAAGTTTCTTTGTAGCTTAGCTGTCTATATGAATGACGGGTGATTTGTAAAGTACATGTAACTACTAAGTTAAGTACTGACCGCATTGAATAACTTAGCTGGTTAGGGATGCTTAAGACTGGCTTTTCCTTAAGACAAAAAGCATAGAAATCACCTTTTTTCCTTCACCATCTCATTGTCCTGTCCCTCTAGTGACTCCAAACAGCAGTAGCCTAACAATAACTTTGTCTGCTGAATAACATGTAGATGTACTTATAGCTGAATTCCTTTAAAAACATCTACACTGAAATCAGTGGGTTTTTTTTAGTGTAGCTTAACCTTGGGGACATGACCGTTCTACAGCCTCAGACCTCTTTGTATCAGTTTTGTACAGTAGCATTGAATAAAAATCATTGATTATGTTTCCACTTATTGCTTCTGCTTGGATGTGGACTCAATTGGTTTCTTTTCTGAAACAGCAAGAAGAAATTGTGTGTGATTTATGGCAAATGGACAGAATGCATGTGGAGTATAGATCCTCATCTCTATGAAGCAAACAAGAAGACTGACAAAAAAGCATCTGACACGAAGAAACAGAAGCAGGTATTTCCTCTTATCTGCTTGCTCAGAACAGACTGTTTTACTTGTGGTTCATCTAGCATTGGAGATAATTACAATTTTGGTGGGCTGATGCTTTTGTTTTTTGTTTAAATATGATAAACGTTAAGATGTCAGTCAGTACTTTAAATAATCAGAAAACATGACATGCATGCTTAGTTCGCAAGGGTGTTGTAGTTTTTTTTGTAAGCTGATACATGTTAAGTCTTTGGGTATGGTCTTTTTACATCGGCAAACTGCAGCTCGGAGTCGTAGTGTGCTGTATTTTGTGGTGTGACTGTACTGTGAAGCATCTTCTCCTTTCCCTTTGCAGGATGAAAGCTTGAAGGCAGAGAACGATGAGGCTGATGACATGCCTGAGGTTCAGGAAACAGTGGCAGTTATCCCGGGCAGTACGCTGCTGTGGAGAATATGGTCCAGACCTCCCCACTCTGCGCAGGTCAGAAGAATTATGTCTTCTCCAGCCTGTTGCACTCTTTGTCTCAACAGTATGCAATTCTTGAGTTACCAGACTCTCGATGGAAGAGATATTGTTGTCTTTGTGAAGTTGAATCCATCTTCCTCTTTCAAAGCTTTTCAGCAGCCACATATTTTATAAAACCCCACCTCTAAAAACACCCAAGATAATTTTTTGCCCCGCTAATTGTCTGCCACAAGAAGGGGCAATTCTGGTCCTGGAAGGTATTCTAGATCTCTTCAAAGCAACGGCACTGATTGGCTTTGGGCAAACTTTAAATAGGTCTTGTTCAATCAATAATTGAAAACAAGCAGACACATTGGTACTCTAGGACCTAAATTGCCCATTCATGTTTTACTGACAGAATGCCATATTTATAGTGTAGAGCACTGCTGAGGTAGGGTGCACATTTACCAGCCAGAGCTGTTGGTTCAGCTTTTGTCCAGTGCCTGCAAACTTGCAGTGGTATCAGTAAGAAAATGTGCTGGTTATCCTGTTGGGATAATCTCTCCTGTCACTGCAGAACTTGCAGTATGTGAATATGTGACTTTTGAAAGAGCATTTCTGGAGCTCCCTGTAAAGGTAAAGGAGTGGTGGCTGTAAAGCCTTAAAAATGTACAGTCTATTGACTCTAGGCAGTTGTTCTAAGACTTGAGAGTTTTAAAACAATTGGAAATTCCAGATGGGTGGGCACGTAATGAAAATAATTACTTGTGATTTCAAATTTCTAAAAAAAAAAGTATTTCACGCTTGTACTTGCCTTGTACCTTTTACTTCCTATTTTTATGTATTCCCAGATGTATAATTTTACAAACTTTGCTATCACTCTGAATGAACTGGAACCAGGAATGGACCGGATTTTACCACTGACAGATTGTCGCCTGCGTCCGGACATCAGGGCCATGGAAAATGGAGACATGGGTGTGTAAGACTTGTAGCATTGAACAAACTGAATTTGTATCCATAATAAACATCAGCTCATTTTGCTTGCATTTGCTTATCATAAGTCCTGTGGGCCATATTGATTACAAATCATACAATTTATAGATGCAGGGCTGGTTTCACAGGCTAGTTTCAAATTTAGCTTTAACTATAGCTGTGACATGATGCTACATTCTTGGAAGTCCAGGAAGTCCCATCACTAATTGGATGTGTGTGAAACCACTGAATAGTGATTTTTTTTAAGCTTCACGTATACTGCTTAAGTTCACTTTGTGGAGCATTTAGGTAAAGAGCATAGTTTTTTACGTTCAGAAATTGCTTTACCGTACATTTATATTAGCTAAATTAATGCTGAGACTGTAGTTTTAATTTGAAGCCATTTAGTGATTTTAGCAATGTGCATTTATTTTGGACATTGCAACTCATTAATGCAGAAGGCTCAGAGGCACCCATATTTCCGCATGGGAGATGTAGATAGATACTTTATTGATCCCATGAGGGAAATTGGAGTGCAACAGCAGCTTAACACAGTCAACACAGCGATGTACACATGTAATGTGTTGGTATGATACAGTTATCATTGAGCAAAATGTTATCTTTTTACTTGTGGGAAATGAGAAACTTTTCGGAGGCTGTGGTCACCCCCTGGTTTTGTTTTGTGTTTGACAGAAGTGGCCAGCAGGGAGAAGGAAAGGCTGGAGGAGAAGCAGAGGGCTGCTCGTAAGGAACGAGCTAAGAGTGAGGAAGAGTGGTCACCCAGGTAAACATCATCATGTGATTGACAGCATCAAGCAGGATTATGGGATGTCTGTATTTCTCATTTTCCACAAGTGTTCACTGTCATTAAAAATAGGAATTCTTTACTAACTCCATTGTATAACTTAGTTGCATTTACAGTAGACTAAAATGGATCCAGTTTCCTCAGCATTATTTCTATCTTACATAGAAAACATATAAATAAGTGCACTTCAATTAAAAAAAATAATTGAACCCGATAATTTCTTACTCTAACATTTATAGAGCTGTAGAAAGAACAGTTAATGAGTATTACCTTATTTTTAATGGCTGAAAATGTCTTCCTTCCTATCTGCCTGGTTTTATCCCCAGGAATCTTAATGTTTTTAGATTAGTTTTTAAGGCTAGTCCACTGGGAAAAGGGCAGTGCCTATTTCCTGTTCTTCATATATTCACTGAGATTCCTCATAAGCTAAAGATATTCATGCTAAATTTAGGCAAGCAATTAAAGATAAAATGATCAGTTTTTGGTGACTGAGTGTAGAAGGAAATACACTTGTGCTTGATTAAAAAAAGTAGCCTAAAAATACATGGCCTAGCACAGATTATAGTTGTTATTATTATATAGTATGTCTTTTGTGACCTTTAGTGGCTTAATATACTGTATTTGTGCAACACATAACACTTGTCTGTATTGAGGTTTACTATGTTTCTATTCCTTAATGCACATCTGGTATTGAGAAATCTATGATTTTTAATTTTTTTTTCAGGTGGTTCAGGTTAGACACAAATCCCCACACAGGGTCCCAGGACTGGATTTACACAGGAGGGTACTTTGATAGGAATTACACCGACTGTCCTGACATCTACTGAGGGGGTAGTCACCTCCAGCCTTCAGCACCATATCATCTCTAATTGGAAATGGAAGAAACCAGTTGCTCGTTTCCCCCTAACGTGGCACAATTAACAATTTGTACAAACCTTTTCCACTCGTGAAATAGTTCTGAGCCTGGGATGAAGATGTCATTGACTGGCAGCGAGAATGGGAAGAAGGAAAGCCGTGATCTCCCCAATTTCTCCCTCAGTCTCAGCATCTGCTATATCTCTGTAATCAGTATTTTTTCTTTTTTCCTCTGTAGTTTCCCTCATGTATCTTGCAGTATGTGGGAGTTTAATCTCAAAAGCATCTTGAAGAAAGATCTCACAAGAGTCTGCATACGTGTTACAATCATGTCTGGTCAGCTGGTGCACTTTTAATTTTTTGGGGGTTTGTTTTAAGGAATAAGCGCAACTTGAGGTTTAATAGAAACCGGAGGCTCACATTTCTCATTTTCAAGGGTCCTACGTACTGCATTAAACAAAAAATTGGTAATATGATCTTAGCAAGTCTACAGAATCTCTTACGTCACTGTAAAATGTTCTATTTGTGAGTTGTTGGTTAGATTAAAAAAAGAAAACCTGCAGTAGTGCCTATCGGCTAGTTTCAGATGAAGAGACCATTGTGCGGTTCTAAACATAAAAGCATTTAATTTTTAAACAGTTACATGTAACAGCGATCAGTTCTGTGATCGTTTAAAAATTAAAAAAAAATGGTACGCATAAAGAATATTAATTTAAAATAAAGTAAGGTTTCATACTGTTTGTCATTTCCTTGTTATAAAAATATAAAAATGTCTACCATTAGTGTATGCACTTGATGGGTATAGCTCCACAGTTATGACAGTATGCTAAACCGTATCTGAAGAGACAGTGAAAACACTTGAGACTACAGAAATCTTCAGTGACAAAGCAAAGCATGATGTTGATCAATACCAGCAAAGAAACAGGCATGTGCCATCATGAAATGTAGTAAAAAAGAATGGAAAGATTGTGTTTTGTTTGAGGTTTTATATATGAATTCCGGACTTTCCAAACTAGGTTTAAACCATCCGGCTTTAGTATAGCGCATGGTTGTCAGACTCTCTTCCTGGGGTGCCTAGTGTCTGCTGGTTTATTTCCTAACCTAAGTACTCAAATAACCAATTTGCCAAATTATCAGACATATACAGAACACTCACTCATCAAGGTACATTTACTTATAAAACACATCAGAGCCTAGTTACAGGCATTAGACTTATGCAGTTATTACAAATAATTAGACCCATTATGTAACTGACAGTGCAGTTTGGAACAAAAACCAAAGGACACTAGGCCTGACACTCGTGGTATAAGTGCATAAAAGATCCTGTTTCAGAGACGAGTGTGTCGTTTGTGTTTGCCTTTTCAGTTTGTTTCACCTTTCAGAGCTTAGTTAAGATATCCTCTTCTTTATAAGCATAACAAGTCCCATTACTCAAGCTGTTACTAGTTTGGCCAATTTCACATTTGCACAACTAGTCTGTGTGTGTCCTGTAATTGAAATGTTTTTGGCACTAAATATTTATGTTCCTTATTCTGATGCATGCTTACAAATGTAACCAATTAATTTGTTTTAGTTGGTGAGAAAACTGAAAGCTGCTTAAGACCATGTTTACCTAGTTAGTTAACTAACATTTTTTTAAATAATAAAATCATTCAATTCAAATAGATTTAAGTGTCTATGTGTATGGTTGCCAAAGTGACTATTTTCATGTAGAAATTCCAAAGCCATACTAATGTTGCAGGTACAGGTATTCATATTTATATCAGTATACAGTATGTTGTAAAAACATGGTTCTGTGGAGTTGGATTAATTCATCTTTAGGACTGGAAATTATCTTGCATTTTTGACTGAACTGGCAGAAATCTTAAGCTAACATTGAATTCCACATTAATTATTCTATTAAGCCTAATTTACCTAAACATCAAATCAGGCTACATAACTGTTATCTCAGAATAAAGTAAGAATTCATTGCTGGTTACCATGTGACTTCCAGAATATGAAAAATACTACCTGTATAGTCTATTATTTTTGTGTGAGGAGAATAGATCTAGAGGAAAAAGGGTTCTGAACATAGGTTTTAGAAATGTAGGTCAGCATTGCTGTTTCTTTCTTTGGGATTGTATTCAATTATTTTCAAATTCAGCCTCCAAGATAGCTAGATTTCTAATGGACAGAAAATGTTTGGCATTTAAAAATAGTCCTCATAGTTTTTTAAAACTATTTTTTTCCCTTCACATTCCGAATTGCTGTTTCTGAATTAAAATGCATATTGGGGGTAGAAACGGTAAAATGGAGTTAATTTCCAGATATAGTTCAAGATATTGGGTAGAATTTTGGGATTTTCTTTATGGTATGTACATGATGTAAACTGTAGATAGTTTAGTATGTAATAACAGTAATAATAAACTGCTGGTCTTCAGCAGTCTTATATGTCCACTGATTTTTGTCAGTGAGTGCTTTTCTGAACATCTTTATGCTACATAAAAGCAGCTATAATTGAAAGTAGTGTAGGCTTCTGAAATGTTCAGTGCTTTTAAAACATTACCTAAATCTATGCAAACAACAATCAATATGATCAACGTGTCACTTAAAATATGGAGTATATAAATACAGTACATAGGTTGGCCTTTTGTGTTTTAGGAATCTAGGAAGATTTATATCATCACCTTCAGGAAAACAATGTGAACTGACTGATTTGGACATAGCTGTGGAGAATTTAATTGGTCTGCTACTTATTGTATGTGTAGTAGATAACCAAGTTTCAAGTGTTATTGCTAGATTGAATTTGACGGTCACTGTCTACATCTTTTGGCTTACTGTTTTCAAATAAAGGTTTGTGGAACTTGCATAGTTTCTTACACTGTTTAGTTTCTTAATTCCGTAAGCAACTAAAAATATATTTTCAAATGAGTATTAAGCGGCGAACGTAAAGGTCAAGTTAAACATTGGGATCATGTGGAAAAGTGTGCAAACTTTCTAAACCATCACTCCATCATTATTGTGCCTTTCATCTTTATTAATGTCACTAAGCATTGGTGTTTAAAATAACTATGCTAAATATTCCAATAGTGCTACCTATTTTCTACCCCTTTGTATATTAAAACACTACTACTGTTGTATTTATCCACTTAATTGCGGTCTTAAGAAATGTAAAAATTGGTTATTTGTAAACTAGCAATATAAAAATGATCATTTAAAGTTTTTATTTTGCTGTGTATGGTTTTTGTGTAGAAAATGAATAACACTTGAGTCTGTACTGGTTGGCTGTCTCCTTGTTGTAAACTACAAATTTCCATCTAGACTAGTTTTTCCCCCTCTTTCTGTACTTTTGTTTGAACAATTTTTAGTTTGCCTTCTCAATATGGCATGGAGACGTTGGGTCATACTGAAAAAGAGACTTGCAAAATGAGTTTATTTTTATAGTATTTAAGGCAATTCCTTTCTCTTTTTGTCAAGTGTACCCCCTGTGTCTGAAAAGTAACATCAAACTAAATCATTTTCTTCTGTTTTTGAGGGGGGAAGAAGAGAGGGAGTTTTATCTGTATGCACAATACTATGTAGGCAGTTAAATGTAAGAGCTTCTCACAAAATCACAATATTCAGTTGGAAATACATTTGTTCTTTTTAAATAAAAAAAAATGTTGGTGAACAGCATGGTTCCTGTTTGTCTGTTTTTTACTGTTGTAATAAATCATGAAATTTTAATGGGAGGGTTTTGTAATTTTTGGGGGGCGGGGAGTGTTTTGCATTAGGTATGGGTATGTGAAGCACTGAATTTAATTATAAATGGTTTTAGATCTTAAATAATATAACATAATGGAAATGATTACCTGAAGAATTTCTTTGCAAGTTAACATGTTCCCGAAGGATACTGACCATGGAGTGGTAGTCTGGTCCACTCAGCAGTCACTGGCCTATGATGATCTGATTCTGCTGTGTTTTTCTTGTGGTTTTGCTGTGATTCTTTCCTTTTATATACAGCTGATTATCCCAGAGTGTTTTACATGTAAGGACGGGGTCAGCTTCATCCACTGCTGAAGTGCAGCACCGCAGCATTCATTATGAATCAGCGGGAGAAGGGAGAAAGTAATAGCTCAATTCACCTGGAAATGAGGACATTTTATAAAGGATATCACAATTCTGGAATAAAAGAATGGATAACGCTGAACATGTATACCTTTGGTACCGTTTTCTCCCTGATTTGCGTATGAATGGTTAAATTATCTCGATTTCTTTTATTGATCTAGCAAATAAAACTAAAGTAAAGTAATATTCAAATCAGCACTGTGAGGACGAAAGTTAAAAATGTGGAATTCAGTTTATTAAAGTAGTAAAACCTTTGAAACTCCATTACAATATAATCAATTAACACTGACTTTTTAAGCGGGATTATAGGAACTGAGTTTCTGCAGTAATGAAGGGACACTTTCCACTTCTAGTCTAATGCGTAAACCAATTGGCACCAGTGGATCTGATTTGGCACCACGAACTTGAATCTTGGATCTGACGCCCACCAGTAAAGCTTTTCCAGTGTTTTTAGTTGGTGGGTGCCAATAAAGTTTTGTCAAATTCTTTTGCGTTCTTCTCTCTCAGAGATTGCGCAGTGAGTTTATGACGCAGCAAAACCCCTCTACCTAACTTTAAAATATACGGCGTTTAAAGCACGCGATTGACACTAACCTAATCCAACCAATGAGCTGGTTGTATCTCGTCCAGCCAATCAAACGACGTATTCAGACTCCAGGGGCGGTATTTTGTTTTCCTGCATTCCGCTGTGTTCGTGTGTGATTGTCTGTTTCGAAGATTGAAAATCAAAAGAGGTAACGCAGTCAAAACCGGTCAATAAAAAACGATTAAGTGGGATCTTAGGAGTACGGTTATACAAATTAAACGTCAAAGTAAAGTTGCACGATGAGCTTGTACCGTATGCCCGGTTTATTAAAATATTTAATCTGAAGATTGGCGTTCGGGTAGCGTGATACAGAAAATCACCACTTCTGTAATTAGTGTTGTAATTTTGTAGTGCTATATTCGTAATTGTTTGCCTGATATTTTAAAATCGACGAGTTACGATTTGATTTTGAGAAATTGGTGAGCATCCTCTGTGCGGTTTAGTAGGTGAGCATTGCGTGATTAATTGAATGCGGTAGGACATTTAGTACCGTAGGGTGCAAAACTGAAAACCTACTGCATGATGTTCTGATTCTGAAACGTAAAGGGACAAAAATCACAAGGTTTAAGGCAGGAGCTGGAATTGTGGATAGCCGACCTTAAGGAACGGATGTAATCGTGGAAAACTGCAGTCTCACCCTTGGCAGGAGATCCTGGTCTGGTAATATTACAGGCGTAGCTACTTTGTAATAGCAGGATACAGCCGTGCATGTCTGAACCAGAGTCTCTATGGACAGAAAATGTTTATATAGATTTTAGTGTATTCCGATACAGACAGCTGTATAAAGTCCTCAGAGCAGAGCTTACTCGTTTCATTTTTTTTTCAGTGTTCGGTGCAACAGAATGTTTACAAATGGATGATTTCCCTCCGACGTTCATAAAACGTTTGCCAACACGCCCAATTTTATAAGCTTTCATTTTTCCCAAATATGAAAACAACATAGTTTCAGCGTGGGCCGTTCTGCCTTCTCCCTCTCAGTTGAGCAATGCCGGGAGATTGATCTGCTGCCCCTGAATAAAAATAAAAAGCTCACAATTTTTACTCATCAGGAAACTTTCCATCTTTTTCATGAAGGCAACCTTGAAGTCCTGTGATGTTTGTTTCTCCCATCTAGTCAAGCATGTCTTCCGGCGCACTGTTTCCCAGTCTGGTGTCGGGGTCACGGGGCTCCTCCAGTAAGTACCTGGTGGAGTTCAGGGCTGGGAAGATGACCCTGAAAGGCAGCACTGTGACTCCTGACAAACGCAAGGGCCTCGTCTACATCCAGCAGACTGACGACTCTTTGATCCACTTCTGCTGGAAGGACAGGACCACTGGCAACGTGGATGATGTAAGCAGGCCCACCTGTTGCTCGCAAAAAATGTTGGAACTGAGAATCATTTTGGACCTTGGAAGACCTTGGTGGTTTCTGGGAGACAGCTTGTGCTTTTAACGAGACGGAAATTCAGCATTTCATGAATCCCGATCTTAACAAGACTGGCTAATCAGAATGGCTTTTAAATTTCAGGATCCCAGTAATCTTGACAGTTGTTTTTAATCTTCTGTGAAATATTTCCCATTTGTGAAACCAATTTACAGCCTTGCGCTGAGATGTATTTAGAAATTAGTCCATTAGAAAGGCCTCTTTGAGCACAACATGTTCACTTCATTCAGCCACAGAGTGTGGATATACAGAGTGTGTTCTGTTATTATTTGACCTGTGGACACTGACTATGTAAACTACTGGAAGTTAATATCATAATGTTGCAATGCATTTCAGGATCTCATCATTTTCCCTGATGACTGTGAATTCAAGAGGGTAACTCAGTGCACTACTGGCCGAGTATATGTGCTGAAGTTCAAGGCAGGATCTAAGAGACTGTTCTTTTGGATGCAGGTAAATCGGCCTCATTTGAATCCCAATATGACTGGGACTTGCCCTTCCTTGTAATTTCTCATCACCTTGTGCACGCCATTTTATTAGATCTCAGATAAGAACATAAGGCTACAAATAAGAGGAGGCAGTTCAATCCATTTTGCCTAAATTTGGTTGCTAATTAACAATCCAAGGACCTTGTCCAGCTTTTCCCAGGAAATAAGATTCAGCAACATGGCTAGGTTTTTATCCAGGCCTCTGCAACCCGAGGGGCCTCATCTCTGTGTTGGCGATTAGGGAAAATGAGATTGGAGTTCAGATGTGGCCTTCTGCAGCTCTTTGGAACCTACGTGGTGGACTATAATGTTAATGCCTTTTTTTAGTTAGTACGTAAACCAAACATGTTTATAGAGCCTGTTCCATTTGTTCCAATCCAATAGATTGTCTGCATTTCACTCAGAATGTATAGGCTTATTTTCTTTTAAAAGACTTTCAGTGCTTCATTGCTTTCAGTGCCATCAAATCAAAGTTTTAAAAAGAGAAGTTGTTTTCCTGTTTGCTTGATGACTCTCCCTCCCTCTTCCAGGAGCCAAAATCCGACAAAGATGAGGAGTATTGCCGTAAAGTGAATGAATACCTCAACAACCCCCCGATGCCTGGGGCTCTGGGGAGTGGAGGCAGTGGAGGCCACGAGCTCTCCGCTTTAGGAGGTGAGGTATAGAGGGGAGAACTTCTGACTGAGGCCATGAGTTACAGTACAATCTCTGATTGTAACAGTAAAAACTGGTATGCACTTTTAACAAAGTTTTAAACTTTAACAGGAGAAGGTGGCCTGCAGAGCCTTCTGGGTAATATGAGCCATAACCAGTTGATGCAGCTGATTGGACCAACAGGGCTTGGAGGACTCGGTGAGTTTCTCCGTTTTCTTGTGAATTTCCTAATAACAAAACATCTCGTGAAGTTGCTGAACTCGTTTTCGACTTTACCCACAGAACGAGAAGAGTTCGTTTTTTTTTCGTAGTTAGTCTAATGCCTTGTGCATCCCTGCTGTGTTGATCCGCCTTTAAGCTGGAGGAAAAATGTTTTCTCTCCAGTGCTAATGACATGATTTTGTAGTAGTTCTTTAAAACTTTCCATTGTAAAGTGGGTCAAAGGTTTAGCACCAGTGAAATTCCATGTACATTACCTCCTTCATGAGTACACATGACTCAAAATAAAGGGTTACATGGAATTAGTCTTATTAACTCTGTTACATTTTTGGTCTTTAAGCTGTGAAACTTGTTAAAGCTGTTTTCCCTTGTCAGGTGGGCTTGGTGCTCTTGCTGGGCCCGGGCTGGCGAGTCTGCTGGGCAGTGGAGGGCCGCCCACAAGCAGTTCCTCCTCCAGGTAATAAAATCCGGGTTTTTTATTGTATAACTTGCCGACAAGAAGTAAATAACGGCTTGACTGAAACCTTGTTCACACCTAGTTGTTGCAGCAGAAACACACGCACAATGTCGTGAAACTTCAGATTGTGGATTCAGGTGTTAAAATGTGTTCAGTGAATTATAACCAGCCGAAGGCATTCTCCTTCAGTGTTGTGGTGTTACAAATGGGCAGTGCCCAGGGCTTTAAAAAGCCTTTACTTAACTGGTTCCATTCTTCACCCCTCTGCTCTTCTTAATACCATCTTCCACAGTCTCCTCTATTGTTATTGTTGTATTGTTGTAATTATAATTGTGTCCTATCTTGTGAAATCTTCTTATTTATTGTTGTAGTCTTCTTATTTATTGTTATTGTCATCCTGTAAAGCGCTTTGAGAAGTCACCTTTAAAG